ACAGCCCCCCAGAGACCCTGCACAGCCCTAAAAGGACAATACTGACATGATGGACTCCTTACAGACCCACATGGGGTCTCTGCACAGCCCCAAAAGGACAATATTGACATGGTGGGCTCCTTACAGAGCCCCAAGGGGTCTCTGCACAGCCCCCCAGAGACCCTGCACAGCCCTAAAAGGACAATACTGACATGATGGACTCCTTACAGACCCACATGGGGTCTCTGCACAGCCCCAAAAGGACAATATTGACATGGTGGGCTCCTTACAGAGCCCCATGGGATCTCTGCACAGCCCCCAGGGGACAATACAGATGTGTTGGGTTCCTTACAGAGCCCCATGGGATCCATGCACACCCCACAGGGACCCTGCACGACCCCACAGGGACCTCCCACACCCCTGTGGGGGCTTTGAAAAGAGCCTGAGAAACAGCTCCAGTCCTTCTCCAGCCAAAGCACTGGCGGTTTGTCCCTCTCCTCCTGTTGTCCCACGGATCTGAGCCCTGCTTTGGGTCCCCCAGAGTGTGGCAGGAGGGAGATGGGGTCACGGGGCCATGGCCTGGCCTTGCTCTTTTGTACACTGAATTTTGGGGTCTCTCAGAGGCACCCTGGGTAGGCAGCAGCACTGGGCTTTGGGCACGTGTTGAGGACCAGCAGATTTTTTGGGGGAAAGCCCAGCAGAGGAAGCCTTGGAGCAATCAGTGGGATGGGGCAGAGCTGGCACTGAGTGCAGTGTGTCTGGCAAGGCACCAGGGCACGGCTCAGTGGGCGCTGGGGGCCCTGCCAGCCCCACACCAGCCCCTCCAGGCCCCTGCGTGCCCGGGCAGATTAAGGTCACAGCCACCCCACTAATCCCAAGGAGGGGTTGAGATGTGAGCTCGTGCCCACTGCTACCCCCCAGAGCTGCACCCCAGGTCGTAGCACCCCCAAAACACCCTGGGGGTGCCCAGGCAGGGCTGGGGGGCTGCAGCTCAACCTTGAGGAGCCTCCAGAGCAGGCTCCAGCTGAGCTTCCAGTGCTGCTGGGCACGAGGCAGGGGCTCTGTCCAGACCCCTGCTCCAGCCTCCCACCCCCTGGGAGCTGCAGGGATCCTTGGCTCTGCTCCCCAAGCCTGCTGCAGGCTTTTTGGGGGTGCTGGAGCTGCACCCCAGCTGCAGCAGTGCTGGCAGCTCCCCAGAGCTTGTGCAAGGCTGAGGTGGTGGCTGCAGAGGGGGCAGGAAGTGGTGGCAGCGGATCCTTTTTTGGGGGCTCAGATTTGTTCTCACACGGCTGGGAAGGGGAAGGGGAAGGGGAAGGGAGCAAGTTCCACAGGAGAAGTGAGGTCTGCAAGCACCAGCCAGGCCGGGCTTTCTGCAAGGGAAATTCCAAGGGGGAAATGCCATACACCAAAATTTGGGGATGCTGGAAGGGGGTGGGGAGGCACACACAGCCTGGTGCCACGGCTGCACCCCAAAACTCCTCCTGGGACCCCCCAAATCCACCCAGCATGGGAAGGCAGAGCCAGCAGCACCCAGCTGGGGGGGCTGGGACAGGAATGGGGGTGCAGGGGTGGGGCTGTGGGTCTGGGGGCGCAGGGATGGGGTCTGGGGGTGCAGGGATGGGCTGTGGGTGTCAGGGTGCACAGATGGGATGCAGGGATAGGGTGGGGGTCTGGGGGTGCAGAAATGGGGTCTGGGGGTGCAGGGATGGGACGCAGAGATGGGGTACAGGGACAGGGTCTGGGTCTGGATCTGGACGTGTTGAGATGGGGGTGCAGGGATGGTGGGTCTGGGGGTTCAGGGATGGGCTGTGGGTCTGGGGGTGCACAGATGGGATGCAGGGATGGGCTGTGGGTGTGGGGGTGCAGGGATGGAGTCTGGGGATGCAGGGATGAAGTCTGGGGGTGCAGAGATGGGATGCAGAGATGGGGTGCAGGGATAAGATCTGGATCTGGATGTGTTGAGATGGAGATGCAGGGACTTGCCAAAAGCTGAGAGCACAACTGAGATGAAGGACCCCCATGTAGTTACGGGGGCACAGGAGCGGGTCAGGAGAGGATGTAACACACGTGGGGGCACAGGGGGGGTCCCTGCCCCTCCTGGGGGCGGGGGGTGGGTGTGTGTGGGGCAAGGGGAGGTAGTGCCCACTCGTGGGTTCTGCGGGGGCGGGTCTCGGGGTCCGCAGCCCCGTCAGGGTCTGCCGGTGCCGGGGGGGGGCCGCGGACGGCCGAGATCCAGCCGTAGCCATGGCGACGTGAGCCGGATGCGGGGCCGGGGGATGCTGCTCCCGCCCGCCCGCCGCAGGTCGGTACCGCCGCACCGCCACCGGGGCCGGGGGCGGCCGGGGGGCCCCGGGGGGGCTGGGGAGGCTCCCCGGGGGGGCCGGGAGGTCGAGCGGGAAAGGGGGAAGTCGCCATAGTGGGGTTGGGCTTGGGGGACCCCCAGCGCTGATGCTGGCAGCAACAACAAAGAGGCTGAGGTGCCGGCCCTGGGGAGACCCCCGGTGCCCCCCGGTGCCCCCCGGTGCCCCCCGCACTCCCTGCCTTCACATTCCTGCCAAGCCCTCCCTCCTGTGCACCCCTCCACACCTCCTGCACCCCTCAGCTCCCTCCTGGGCATCCTCCTCTCTCTCACCTGCACCCCCCAGCTCTCCCCACCCTTTGTGTACAACAACCCCATCGACACAATCATCTCCCATTTCCTCTTGCCTACACCCCCCAAATTCCTCCCCTTCATCCTCCCACGCCCTTAGTGCACCCCTTCCTCCCTTGCCTCCCATCTCCCACCCACACCCCCTGCCCTGGGTCCTGCTCTGGATCTTGGGGCTCCCCCAGGCCGAGCTGCCCCAGCCCCTCGTGGGTGTTGGGAGCATTCCTGCACCCCCCAAACCACGGGGATGCTCCCGGGGCGTGACATGGGCAGGGGATTGGAGCCCAGCTGCAGAGAGGGACCAAACTCATCCCTGCTGTGGGAAACTGAGGCACGGGGGGTGTCTGAGCAGCTGGCAGATCAGTGCCACCAGCCTGCCCTGCATCTGGCACAGCCCACCTTGCTGAGCACCAGGGCCTGGCTCCATCCCGTGCTCTGAGCAGGGAGAGTGTTCACTGACAGCACAATGCTCCTGGCTTAGAGGGAATCCTCCGGGAGGAGATCCAAGCAGGAGCAAGACCCGTGAAGCCACAGCTGTGGTCAGGAGAAACTGAACCACCCCAGTGCTGAGAGACCCTTGGTCTCCCTCCCATGTGCCAAATCCTATACAGGGACCTGAGACCCTTGGCCAAATCCTATACCTGAGACCCTTGGCCAGATCCTATAGAGGGACCTGAGACCCTTGGCCAAATCCTATACAGGGACCTGAGACCCTTGACCAAATCCTACACAGGGACCTGAGACCCTTGATCAAATCCTATACCTGAGACCCTTGGCCAAATCCTATACAGGGACCTGAGACCCTTGGCCAAATCCTATACAGGGACCTGAGACCCTTGGCCAAATCCTATACAGGGACCTGAGACCCTTGGCCAGATCCTATACAGGGACCCTGTAAATTACATATCCCCAGACCACCGTGACCAGGGGACCCAAAAAAGAGGAGAGACGAGGCTGGGAAGGGATTGCAGCTTCCCACGCTGCCGGAGCAGCCTGGAGGCTGCTGTCCCCTCTCATCCCGTGTCAGCCCTGCCTCACGCTGCTTTTCCTCAGCCCCAGCACAGCCTCCAGCCTCGCCGAGGAGCCTCTGCTCCCTTTTCCATCCCCCCTCAGCCTCGGTGGCTGCGGCCCAGGGCAGAACAATGCGGCCGGTCCAAGGCTCCGTGCGTCCCCCGGGCAGCCCTCTGCCAAGTGGGAAATCTGGGGCAGAGTAACCTACTTTCTGTGCTCACAAGGAGCTTCTGTCCCAGCCAAGCAAGGTGGGGAGCACAGCGCTGCCCTCCCGGGGCTCCGCGTCCCGCTGGGCTGCTCTGGGGGTGGGAGAGGCAGGTAAGGAGGGCCCAGCAGGGCGGGATGCTCCTCAAGTGTGTCCGCAGGGATATTGGGGTGCCTCAGGTGTGGCTGTGGTGTTGAGCAGCCCCAGGGCTTTGGTTTTGGGGGGTTTCTTGCCTACAGCCAGAGCAGCCTGGGGTTAAGGATGGAATCTCTAGGGAAATGGGTTCCTGGGACAGCTGTGGGAGTTTTGTGGGGGTGAATCTTGGCTCTATGGGGCTGGTTTTGGGGTGAAGCTCAGCTCCATGGGGCTGTTTGTGGGGGTGCCCCTTGGGGCTGTTTGTGGGGGTGAAGCTTGGCTCCATGGGGCTGTTTTTGGGGGTATCCCATGGGGCTGTTTCTGGGGGTGAAGCTCAGCTCCATGGGGCTGTTTGTGGGAGTGAATCTCGGCTCTGTGGGGCAGTTTGTAGGGTGAAGCTCAGCTCCATGGGGCTGTTTGTGGGGGTTCCCCATGGGGCTGTTTCTGGGGAAGAAGCTCAGCTCCATGGGGCTGTTTGTGGGGGTGAATCTTGGCTCTATGGGGCTGCTTTTGGGGTGAAGCTCGGCTCCATGGGGCTGTTTTTGGGGTGAAGCTCGGCTCCATGGGGCTGTTTTTGGGGTGAAGCTCAGCTGCACGGGGCTGTTTGTTGGGCTGCCCCTGGGGCTGTTTTTGGGGGTGAAGCCCAGCTCCATGGGGCTGTTTGTGGGGGTTCCCCATGGGGCTGTTCTGGGGATGAAGCCCAGCTCCATGGGGCTGTTTTTGGGGGTGAAGCCCAGCTCCATGGGGCTCTTTTTGGGGTGAAGCTCAGCTCCACGGGGCTGTTTGTAGGGGTGCCCCCTGGGGCTGTTTATGGGGTGAAGTGAAGCTCCACGGGGCTGTTTTTGGGGGTGCCCCATGGGGCTGTTTTTGGGGTGAAGCCCAGCTCCATGGGGCTCTTTTTGGGGTGAAGATCAGCTCCACGGGGCTGTTTTTGGGGGTGCCCCATGGGGCTGTTTTTGGGGTGAAGCCCAGCTCCATGGGACTCTTTTTGGGTTGAAGCTCGGCTCCATGGGGCTCTTTTTGGGTTGAAGCTCAGCTGCACGGGGCTGTTAGTTGGGCTGCCCCTGGGGCTGTTTTTGGGGAGCCCTGCTCCCCCCTGGGGGCTGGTTTTCTGGCTGATGCCTCTCCCCATGGGGCTGTTTTTGGGGATGATGCTCAGGCCTGCACAACCCACAGGACAAATACCATTGCATCCCTCACCCCAAAGATTTCCCCAGCAAGCAAAGCCGGCCATCTGGTCACACATTTTTCCCCCTGTGGAGCATCAGAGCTCCCTGCTTCCATCCCAGCTGCCTCCAGCAGGCTCCGCTGCTGCCGTGCGGGGGTGCGAGGCAGGGGAGGCGGGCGCAGGCACCCACTGCCCCAACCTGCCGGGGCTCGTCCTCTTCCAGCAGGACTTTCAGGTTCCCGCAGTCCCGGCGGAGCCACGCAGGGCTGGGCCGGGCTGGGCCGGGCTGCAGCGAGCCCAGCACGGGCCGGGAGCTCGGCAGCAGCCGGCTGCGGGGCATGGGCCCGCGGGAGACCCCCGGCCGCAGCCCCCGGGGCTCGGGCACCCGCCCGGTGCCCCCGCGCCAGGGCTGGAGGTGAGCGGCTCTGTCCTGGCCCGCCAGAGAGGTAATGTCACCCGCTGGGGACACCGGCAGAGGGGTGCTGGGCACCGGCAGGTTCTGCAGAGGTGGCTCTTCCCCCAGCGCTGCTGGCATCAGCTGCAGGAAGAGCTGCAAGAAGGGGGGTCCCGTGTGTGTTCCCCCACCTCATTTTGTGGGCGCTCTGGTGGCTGATGGAGCCAGGCTGAGGAATCCCTGATGGGGATGGGCTCTGAGGCTACCTGGGGGCAGAGGCAGGAGCCTCTGCACATCTTTGTCCCGTGCAGGAGCCCCAGAGGGTGAGGGGAAATCTGTGACTGTGCCAGAGATTTTAGTGCAGGAGCCCAGAGGGTGAGGAGAAATCTCTGATGTCGGTGCAGGAGTTTAGAAGGTGAGGAGAAATCTCAGAATGTGACAGAAATGTTGGTGCAGGAGTTTAGAAGGTGAGGAGAAATCTCAGAATGTGACAGAAATCTTGGTGCAGGAGTTTAGAAGGTGAGGAGAAATCCCTGTGACAGAAATCTTGGTGCAGGAGTTTAGAAGGTGAGGAGAAATCTCTGAATGTGACAGAAATGTTGGTGCAGGAGCCCAGAAGGTGAAGAGAAATCTCTGAATGTGACAGAAATCTTGGTGCAGGAGCCCAGAGGGTGAGGGGACATCTCTGATGTCGGTGCAGGAGCCTAGAAGGTGAGGAGAAATCTCATCCTGTGTAAGAGATGTTGGTGCAGGACCCCAGAGGGTAAGGAGAAATCTCTGCATGTGCCAGAGATTTTAGTGCAGGAGCCCCAGAGAGTGAGGGGACATCTCTGAATGTGACAGAGATTTAGGTGCAGGAGCCACAGGGTGAGGGGACATCTCTGAATGTGACAGAAATGTCGGTGCAGGAGCCCAAAGGGTGAGGGCACGTCTCTGTCTGTAGCAGAGATTTTAGCGCAGGAGCTCCGCAGGGCGCGGGGACCTCTCTGAGCGCCGGTGTGACACGGGGAAGTTGGTGCCCAACCTGGGGGGGACACGTGGGGCTGGAGGCACCCCCCCCCCCATTCCCCCCCCCTTCTGCCGGGCGCTGCTTCCCCCGTCTTGTTTCCGCCGGGTGAAGCAACACGCAGCCCAGCAGCGCGTGTGCCCTCCTCACCCTCGCCCTCCCCGCAGGGATGGTGGTGGGACCCTCCCGGGGCGCCCCCCTGGCGCCCCCCGCCTTGCCCGCCGCCCTCCGCCTGCTCTGCGGGGTGGTGGTCCCGGCTGCCCTGCTCTGCGCCGAGCCCCTGCCCCGCGTCACCTTCCCCAGCGGTGAGTACGGCCCCGGGGAGAGCTGGGTGGGCTGGGGAGGGGGGACACAGCGTGGGGCAGTGTCCATCCCCAGGGCTGGGCACCCAGCGCCAGGAACCTCGGGGTGCCCCCCATGGTATTCCCCCCCCTGCCCCATCACTGACCCTCGGTGGGGTTGAGGGCAGAGCACTGGGGGTGTGGTGGGGGGTGAGGGTGGATGAGACACCCCAACACCCATTAGGTTGGGTCCTACAGTGGTTTTGTCACCCACCTGGCAGCCCGGGTCTGCTCAGGGTCACTCTGGGGGGATGAAAAGCTGCCTCTGGAAGGGCCAGGGCATGGCATGTCCAGCTGGAAAGGCAGGGGGCAAAGCAGGAGCTTGGGGGGCTCTGCTGTGGCAGGGGGGCTGCAGGAGGGTCTGTGCCCCAGGGCAGGGTCGTGCCTTTCCAGCCCTGACTGCGCTGTCACTTCCCTTTCCCCGGGCAGCCATGCCCAAAGCTGCAAGAATCCCCCAGATTCGGTGCCTGCTGGGGATGAACGAGAATCTGCAGTCCCTGGCTGTGCCCAAGGGCACCCTGGGGGCTGGTGACCACCCCAGTCTGGCACCTCGGGGGCTTGTAATCCCTCCAGGGTGGCACCCTGGGGCAGTGCATCCCCCAAACAGAGCGCTACCCTTGGCCATGGCCCCAAAGCATCGCAGGCACAGCTTAGGGGGAAATGCACCCCATTTCTGGGGGTCTGCAGCTTGGGGATGTTCAGCTCTTGCAGCAGGAGCTGCAGGGGACAGTGGGAAGTGGGACCTGGAGGGTGAAGGGGTGACGGTGATGTGGGAGCTGAAGGGGAAGAACTGAACCCCATTTCCTGTGTGAGAGATAAAACTGAGCTGCTCTGGCAGCTGCTGCCACATCCGCACACGGAGGGTGGTGGTGGGGGGTGTGCGTGTGACCCCTGGGCTCCCCTCACCCCCTCTGCTCCTGCCAGGGGACCCCCGGCGGACCCTCACCCACTTCAGCCAGGACAACGTCTCCCATTATGACATCTTCCTCCTGGATGGGAGCGAGGAGGAGCTCTACGTGGGGGCACGCGACTGGGTGCTGGCCCTCGCTGTTGGCACCCCTGGCAGCATCCGTGCCAAGGCCTCGGTGAGCCCCACCACTTTTGGGGAGGTGGGAGAGGGAGGTGCCTCTGCTGCGTGGCAGATTCCCCGTGGGGCTGGGCTCGACGGCCCAGGGACATCTTCATTCCCTTTGCAGATAATGTGGGGGCCCACAGATGAGAAAACCTCCGAATGCGCTTTCAAGAAGAAGAGCCAAGAGGTGAGCTGGCCCTGTGGGGGCTCAGGGGGGTCCCACCAAGCTGCCAGGGTGCTCAGCACCCAACTCTGCTCTTTCCCCCTCAGACTGAGTGCTTCAACTTCATCCGAGTCCTGGTGGCCCTGAACCAGACCCACCTGTACGCCTGTGGCACCTACGCCTTCAGCCCCGCCTGCACCTACATTGTGAGTGTCCCCCCAGGGCAGCGCTCTGGGGGTCTCTGGGCAGGCTGTGGTGTTGCTGTGAGGACCCACAAAATACAGCCCCAGAAGTGAGCTGCGTCACGGGGGTCCCCAGGGTGTGCCCCCCAAAGGATATCTTTGTGTCCCATCTGCTAAAGGAGCCCCTGGTGATTCTCACTCAGCTGCCAGCAACTCTTCCTCTGGCAGGGAAAACCCAATTTTGGGTCCCCTCGGGTGACTCCAGGCTCTCTGTCCCTGCCTCAGTGTCCTCCATGCTGAGCACGTGGTGGGGACCCCCCCAAAATGAAAATGAGGGAAGGTGACAGGAGCCGGGTACCCCCAGCACCCTCTGTCATCATCCCTGCACCCACCTTGAAGACATGGGCCACCCTATGTCTGCAAGGTATTCCACAGCCATTCCCTACAGATTCGGGGCTGTTTTCATCCCTTTGGCTGATTTTTTCTCCCCTTTTTCCACAGCACCTGGAAAACTTCACCCTGGTGGCCGGTGGCAGAGGACAATCCTTCCTGGACGGGAAGGGGCAGTGCCCCTTCGATCCCCAGCACACTTACACGGCCCTGCTGGTGGGTGAGTACGGGGCCAGCAGCCTCTCAGGTGGGCTCCCCACCCTTGGGATGGAGTGGAGGGCGAGGGTGGGGGGTCCTCAGCACGGCTCAGCCCCCGCTGTGTCCCCGGGCAGACGGAGAGCTCTATGCTGGCACCATGAACAACTTCCAGGGCAACGAGCCCATCATCTCCCGCTCGCTGGGCACCCGCACCCTGCTCAAGACGGACGCCTTCCTCCGCTGGCTCTCGGGTGAGCAGGGGGAAGGGGCTGGGGAGCGTTCCTGGGGAGGCGCCTGCAGCCCCCCACGGCTCAGATTCTCACCCACCTGTGCCTGCAGCCGACGCCGCCTTCGTGGCCTCCTTCAGCGTCCCTGGGGATGACAAGGTCTACTTCTTCTTCGAGGAGACAGCGGATGAGTTTGACTTCTTTGAGAGGCTCCTGGTGCCACGGGTGGCCCGTGTGTGCAAGGTGTGACAGCAGGGATGGTGGTGGGCTGCAGTGGGGGTACAGCGATGGGGGATGATGGTGATGATGTGACAGGAGATAATAGGACAGGGACAACGACAGGAGACCAAAATGGGGATGATAGTTGTACTGTGATAGCAATGACAGTGACAGGGGACAGAGGGGTCTTGTCACCTCGGTAATGGGCACCCTCTCGAAGAGCGATGTAGGGGGGGACAAGGTGCTGCAGAAGAAGTGGACAACTTTCCTGAAGGCGCAGCTGGAGTGCTCCCAGGCTGGCCGCTTCCCCTTCAACGTCATCCACCACGCCTTCGCCCTGCCCCGCCGCCACGGCGGCGCCGACTTCTACGCCGTGTTCGCCTCGCAGTGGTGAGTGCCCAGGGGTGTGCAGGGAGCCCAGGGGCCCGTGCCCTGCTGCTGCCCACCTGGCTGTCCCTCCCTGCAGGCAGGCGGGCACGGCGGGCAGCGCCGCCGTCTGTGCCTACAGACAGGAGGATCTGGAGAAGGTCTTCGAGGGCAAGTACAAGGAGCTGAACAAGGAGAGCTCTCGCTGGACCGTCTACAGTGGCCCCGACATGAGTCCCCGGCCTGGCAGTGTGAGTGCTGCCCACTCAGGGGCACTGGACTCGCCAGGGGACAGCGCTGGTCCCCAAGAGATGGGCTCTGTGCATCCCTGTGTGCCCACACTGCAGATGAGAGAGAAGGGTCCCTCTGCACGCCCCCGATGCTGGCCAGGGCAGCGTGGTGACACAGCACATCCTCCCCTTGTCTCAGTTTCACAGCCCCTTCTCTCCCCCCACAGTGCTCCATGGGTGCCTCCTCGGACAAAGCCCTGTCCTTCATGAAGGACCATTTCCTGATGGACGGGAAGGTGTCACCCCTGCAGGGGCAGCCTCTCCTGGTGAAGTCGGATGTCACCTACACGCGCATCGCCGTGCACGAGACCCGCGGCGTGCGGGGCACCCCGTATCGTGTCATGTTCCTGGCCACAGGTGGGGCGACCTGGGGGGCACACAGGGTCACCCATCCCGCCCTCCCCTTGCCTCCAAAGCCTCAGCAACGTCCCCCCTGCCCCGCAGCCGAGGGTTTCCTGCACAAGGCAGTGCAGCTGTCGGAGGGTGCCCACATCGTGGAGAGCATCCAGCTCTTTGCAGTGCCAGAGCCAGTGAGGAACCTGCTGCTGGCGCCAGGGAAGGTAGGGCAGGTGTGACCACCCAGACACCAACAGCCCTCCAAGACCAGCCCCGTGGGGAGGCTCAGCCCTGCACCTCTCCCTCCCCAGGGCATCCTCTACGTGGGCTACTCCAGAGGAGTCCTGCAGGTCCCGCTGGCCAACTGCAGCCTGCACCGGAGCTGCGCCGAGTGCGTGCTGGCACGGGACCCCTACTGCGCCTGGCACAGCCCCCAGGGCTCCTGCCAGCCCGCCCGCCTCGCCCCCGAGAACACGTGAGCAGCAGGAGGAGAACGGGGAGGGTCTGGGGGTCCCTGGGGTGCTGACCCCCCTCTCCCGGCCGCAGGAGCGCCTGGCTGCAGGACGTCGAGACGGGGAGCCCGGTCACCGCGTGCCACCGCGGGAGGAGCGCAGCCGTGCCCCGCTCCCGGGGGGCACCGGAGGGTCCCGCTGTCCAGGGTTGAGTGTGGGAGCATGTGGGGTGGGATGAGGTCCATGGGGGGCACCGGAGGGTCCCGCTGTCCAGGGTTGAGTATGAGAATATGTGGGGTGGGATGGGACCCGTGGGGTGCACCAGAGGACCCCACTGCCCAGGGTTGAGTGTGGGGACACAGGGGGTGGGATGGGGTCCATGGGGGGCACAGGAGGACCCCGCTGTCCAGGGTTGAGTGTGGGGGCACATGGAGTGGGACAGGGCACGTGGGGTGGGATGGGGCATGTGGGGGCACCGGAGGACCCCGCTGTCCAGGGAACATATGGGGTGGGATGGGGTCTATGGGGGGTTCCAGAGGATCCCACTGTCCAGGGTTGAGTGTGGGAGCACAGGAGGTGGAATGGGGCCCATGGGGGGCACTGGAGGACCCCGCTGTCCAGGGTTGAGTGTGGGGGCACTGGGGGTGGGACGGAGCCCCTGGGGGGCACCAGAGGGTCCTGCTGCCCAGGGTTGAGTGTGGGGACACAGGGGGTGGGACAGGGCCCATGGGGTGGATGGGGTCCATGGCAGGCACTGGAGGATCCCACTGTCCAGGGTTGAGTGTGGGAGCACAGGAGGTGGAATGGGGCCCATGGGGGGCACTGGAGGACCCCGCTGTCCAGGGTTGAGTGTGGGGGCACTGGGGGTGGGACGGAGCCCCTGGGGGGCACCAGAGGGTCCTGCTGCCCAGGGTTGAGTGTGGGGACACAGGGGGTGGAATGGGGCATGTGGGGGGCACTGGAGGACCCCGCTGTCCAGGGAACACGTGGGGTGAGATGAGGCCCATGTGGGGCACCAGAGGACCCCACTGCCCAGGGTTGAGTGTGGGGACACAGGGGGTGGGACAGGGCCCATGGGGTGGATGGGGTCCATGGCAGGCACTGGAGGATCCCACTGTCCAGGGTTGAGTATGGGAGCACAGGGGTGGCACAGGGGGTGGGACAGGGCCCAGAGGAGGGACACGTCCAGGGAGCTTGGTGAGCTTGACATGGTTAGAACAGGGCACATGGGGTGGGATGGGGTCCATGGGGGGCACCGGAGGGTCCTGTTGTCGAGGGTTGAGTATAGGGGCACAGGGGTGGGACAGAGCCTATGGGGGGCATCGGAGGGTCCTGCTGTCCAGGGTTGAGTATGGGGGCACAGGGGGTGGAATGGGGCCTATGGGGGGCACCAGAAGACCCCGCTGTCCAGGGTTGAGTGTGGGGGCACAGGGGGTGGGACAGGGCCCATGGGGTGGGATGGGGTCCATGGCAGGCACTGGAGGGTCCCGGTGTCCACGATTGAGTGTGGGGGCACGTGGGGTGGGATAGGGCCCATGTGGAGCACAGGAGGACCCCGCTGTCCAGGGCTGAGTGTGGGGGCACTGGGGGTGGGACAGAGCCCATGGGGGGCACTGGAGGACCCCGCTGTCCGGGGTTGAGTGTGGGGGCACAGGGGGTGGGACAGAGCCCATGGGGGGCACTGGAGGACCCCGCTGTCCAGGCAACACGTGGGGTGGGACAGGGCCCAACAGGGTGCACCACATCACCCCCTTCTCCACCCCCACAGGGCTCAGCCCCCCTCTGAACGCCGTGGTCCAGCTGCCGTGCCCCCACCACTCCTCGCTGGCCACCTACAGCTGGCAGCAGCCCGACGGTGCCCGCGGGCACACGGTGCTGCAGCCCGACCGCACGCTGGTGCTCGTCATGCAGCCGGCAGCCGCCGGCACCTACAAGTGCCAGGCCACGGAGAACGGCTACACCTGGACCGTGGCTCACTACCAGCTCGGGGACTCCGGCGGGGCCGCGCCGGGCCAGCGGGGCTCGGCCCCCCGCTCCTACTGGCCGGAGCTGGTCACCGTGGCCGTGCTGCTGGCCGTGACGCTGGCCATGGCCGCCGGCCTGGCCCTCGCGGCCTGCCGCGAGCAGCTCAGGGCTCGCAGCAAGGTGAGGGGCTGCGGCGCGCCCCACAGCCCCCCGGCCCGCCACCGGGAGAAGGTGCCCCTCAACGGGGGCACCGGAGAGCCCCCCGCGCCCGGAGGCGCCGCCGAGGAGGAGGAGGAGGACGAAGGCTCCCAGGCTTGCTGCCTGCAGCTGGATGGGGACACGGATGTGGAGAACAACCGGCTCCACGTGCCGGTGGGGGACACGGCGTGACGCTGCCAGGGGGTCAGGGGTGGGGCTGTGAAAGGGGTTTTTTTGGTTTTGTTTTATTTAATACACCTGGTTTAATGTAAGGCTCACGTTCTGGGCGTGAGGGCGGAACGGGGCCTGGGAGCAACAGAGTGGGGTGGGTGAAAAAAGGTGGTGGGGACAGGCAAAGGGTGTGTGGCACACAGAAATGTCGCCGTGGGGTGGGGATGGCTGGAAACGGTGGATGCTGAGACAAGGAGAACAAAAAACCAGGTTCCATAAAAACCTCAACGTGGGGCAAGATGTTCTTGGTGGGCTCCATCAGCCAGGCCTGTGGGCACTGCCACCCTGCAGTGCCACCCTGCAGTGCCACCCGCCCCTCAGCGCTCCGTGATGCCAACCCTCATGTCCCCCCCAGTGTCACCGTCCCCACTTCTGTCCCCCCGGCCCGTTTCCAGAGCCGTGGATCTGCCTCTCTGAAGCCAAACCGGCTGTGCGTTGTCCTGCTCTTTGGGGTTTTTTAATTAAAAAAGGAAAACTCGACGCCTCGCGTTGCTGGGTCCGTGAGGCCCTGAGGCCTTTGGGGTGATGTGTGAGGCCTGGGCCGGGGGAACGCGTGTGCACACGTGGGCAGGGACACGTGTGAGGGTGCAGGGACACACATGGGTGGGCAGGGACACGTGTGAGTGTGCAGGGACACACATGAGTGTGCAGAGACATGTGTGAGTGTGCAGGGACACGTGTGGGTGTGCAGGGACATGTGTGAGTGTGCAGGGACATGTGTGGGTGTACAGTGACACACGTGAGTGTGCAGAGACATGTGTGAGTGTGCAGGGACACGTGTGGGCATGCAGGGACACACGTGTGGGTGTGCAGGGACACCCCTGGCTGTGCAGGGACACTCCTGAGCATACAGAGACATGTGTGGGCATGCAGGAACATGTGTGGGTGTGCAGGGACACACTTGGGTGTGCAGGGACATGCTCCTGTGCAGCCTGCACGTGCAGCGAGGGGCATGGAGAGCAGGGAGCAAGGCACATCCCTCTCACACCGGCCCACCACACCCTCCTGTGGGTGCCTCCGTGCTGTTTCCCCCTCCTGGCCGCGCCGCGACCCCTCCACCAGGCGGGACCAGCCTGAGCGGTACTGGCCCTTTAAGAGCCGTAATTCGGCGCAGCCCCTTTAAGGCACCACCCCCCCGCCGCCCTCTTTACTCCGGGCCGGAAGCGCGCGGGGGGGCACTTCCGGTGTGACCTCTGCCCGGTCCCAAGATGGCGGCGGCGCTCGGGCGCTGACGCCGCCGGTCACTTCCGGCCGGGGAGCGGCCATGGGGCGGCCGGGCCGGGGGCTGGCCGGGGCTGCCTCCCGCCGGCCTCAGGTGAGCGGCTGCCGGGGCCGGGACGAGAGGCAACGCCGCCTGTGTCCTCCGCGGGCCCCGGGCGGAGCCGGGGCCGGGGCCGGGGCCGGGGCCGGGGCCGGGGTCGGGGAGAGGCCTGCCAGGCCTCACGGTGGCGGCCCGGCCCGGGACCCTCCGGCCCTTTCCCTGAAGGACCCCGGGGGAAAGGCCCGGAGCCCCCTCGGCGAGAGACCCCCGGGGATTGAAGGAGCTGAGGGGCCCAGGGACCCTCCCCGGGTGCACGGGAAACAGCCGGAGCCCCCCGTGGGGACAGCGGGGACACGCCGCCACCGCAGCCGTCCCGACACCGCATCCCTGCGTGTGGCCCGGCGGTGACCTTGAGCGCATCCCCGAGCGAGCTGTGCCGCTGCTCCCTGCCCCGGAGCTGCTGCGGCCGGAGCGGGGGTTCACCCCCGGGGGAAGCGGGGCGCTCCTGCCCGCGGTGCTGGGAGGGCAGCGCTGCCGTCGGGCACAGGGTGCAGCTGGCCCGGGGGCTGCGGGCTGGGCTTGGAGCAGGACTGGCCCCCTGTAGGGCTTGGATCGCCTCCTGCCGCGGGGTGAGTGCGGGGAGAGGGTTTGGCTGGGCCAGCTGGATCAGGTGGGCTGGACGAGGTGAGCTGGATGTGGTGCCTCAGCTCAGTGAGGTGGACGTGGTGAGCTGGACAAGGTGAGCTGGATGTGGTGCCTCAGCTCATCTGGGTGAGCTGGATGTGGTGCTTTAGCTCAGCTCAGTGAGCTGGATGTGTTGCCTTAGCTGGGTGAGCTGGATGTGGTGAGCTGGACGTGGTAGCTCAGCTCAGTGAGCTGGATGTGTTGCCTTACCTCAGCTGGCTGAGCTGGACGTGTGGTGAGCTGGATGTGTTGTCTTAGCTCAGCTGGGTGAGCTGGATGAGGTGAGCTGGTTATGGTGCCTCAGCTCAGCTTGGTGAGCTTGACATGGTGAGGTGGATGAGGTGAGCTGGACATGGTGCCTCAGCTCAGCTGAGTGAGCTGGAGTAGCTCAACTCACTGAGCTGGATGTGGTGCCCAGCCCAGCTGGATGAGGTGAGCTGGGCTCAGTGAGCTGGACGTGGTGCCTCAGCTCAGTTGGGTGAGCTGGACGGTGTGAACTGGTTGTGGTGCCTCAGCTCAGCTTGGTGAGCTTGACATGGTGAGGTGGATGAGGTGAGCTGGACATGGTGCCTCAGCTCAGCTGAGTGAGCTGGATGTGGTGCCTTGGTTCAGCTGAGTGAGCTGGACGTGGTGAGCTGGATGTGGTACCTTAGCTCAGCTCAGTATGGTGAGCTGGATGTGGTGTCTTAGCTCAGCAGAGTGAGCTGGATGAGGTGAGCTGGATGTGGTAGCTCAACTCACTGAGCTGGATGTGGTGCCCAGCCCAGCTGGATGAGGTGAGCTGGATGTGGTAGCTCAACTCACTGAGCTGGATGTGGTGCCCAGCCCAGCTGGATGAGGTGAGCTGGATGTGGTGCCTCAGCCCAGCTGGGCGAGCTGCTTGTGCTGCTGATAGCACCAAGGTCAAGGTTCCATTCCCAAAAGGTTCCCTCCGGGGCCGGCCCCTGCTGGGCCCTGTCCAGCTCAGCCTGTTCTGTGTTTCTGTGCTCTTGGAGGTGCCAGGCGGCCTCGGGCTGACTGCAGATGGTTCCCAGGCTGGTGCTGAGGCATTAGCATGCTGGGCAGGGCACGTCCCTGCCCGGGGCACACAAAGGCCCTGCCTGTGTTTGCCAGGGAATCATCTCTAGCTGCAGCAAGGAGCAGTTTGGGGAGCAGACTGGCAGTAAAGACCATGATACTGGGGGTTTATTCTGAGTTATCTGTGTAGGACACTGAGGCTGTGCCCAGATGAGAGAGCAGGAGCAGGGACACCCTGCTTGGTAGCCCCTGCTTGGATTTCCAGGCAGAAGTTCAAGAAATGCTGGTTTGTGCACAGTGGGAAGGAACCACTGAGGGGTGGTTTTGGCACGGAAGCTGCTCCAGAGTTTAAGGATGTGTGAGCTGTGGTGTGCTTGTACCTTGTTTTGGAGGGCAGGTCAGTTCTTAGGAGATGTAGCCACTACTTCTCTCTCAGTCTCCCTAAAATTACCTGAAAGATCATCAAAGAGTTGCCTAATGAGTGTGATGGGATCCCTGAGCAAGGCCGTGGTCTAAATTTCTGGAAGATTAAATGCTCTGAGCAAAACTCTTTATGTTGGCAGAGTGAGAATTGCAGCCATGCTGGTCATCCCTGGAGCTGCCAGGATCCATCCCTTCCTTCTTCCACCCAGGAGGGACTTTGGGTGCCTCAGAGCCATGGGGTTAAAGTGACTTTGTCTAATTCAGATCCCTAATGAGAGGAGTTATTGGTGAGAGTGCAGAAAAGTACAGCTGTTTCCTCAAGAAGTTGTGGCTTAAATTCTAAACCCAAAGCACTAGAGCACGTAAAACTAAATGAAGATCAAGTATTTATTATTATTATTATTATTATTATTATTATTATTATTATTATTATTATTATTATTATTTTGTTTTCCATATTGCAGTAATGAGAATGTTTTTTGCAGGCAGCCCTTCCTTTTCCTTTGTGGGGAGCTCAATTCCATGGTGGTGGCAGAGGAATTTAGAGTATGGACTAAACCCTCAGGCTTCACCAGGGAATCATATTGGCTAGACTCTATTTTAATTTTTTTTAATGAAAAATTAAGCTAGTGGGACTCTCAACAATAACCAAGTCATGTTTTCATTTCAGATAACTTCTGTGCAGGAAGCTTTCTGTGTCACATCATGTCAGCATTAGCAAACCCACTAAGGCTGTAACTGTAACTAAAGCAATCCAGGCTGTGGTGTTTGTTGAGCCTTAACTGCCAGGACAATTGGCTGGCAGGGTGAAGTGTAGCTGTCTTTACAATGGTAAAAAGGTGATTTTGGGGTGTTTTTAACTCCCCTGTCCACCTGCAGGAGCTGTGGTAGCCTGTAATGCTGTTTGCTCCTGTTCAGCAGATATTTTGTTGGCCAATGGACAGTGAAATGGTCACTTAAGGTGACACCCACCCCTCACCTGCCTTAATTTCATCACTGCAATTTCTTCTCTGTGCCAGAGGTAAACAACTTCCAGTTGCTTTGTTACTATTTCTAACAGAATGTCTCTGGCCTGTGTGGGTTCTCCATGAATTCTGAAGTGTTGAGACATTTCCCTAAGGATCCCAGGCTGGTTTGGGTTGGAAGGACCTTAAAGGCCATCTCATCCCACCCCCTGCCATGGGCAGGGACACCTCCCACTGCCCCAGGCTGCTCCAAGCCCTGTCCAGCCTGGCCTTGGGCACTGCCAGGGATGGGGCAGCCACAGCTGCTCTGTGCCAGGCCCTGCCCACCCTGCCAGGGAACAATTCCTTCCCAATATCCCATCTAACCCTGCTCCTGGTCAGTGGGAGCCGTTCCCCTGTCCTGTCACTCCATCCCTTCTCCCTTGGAGCTCCTTTAGGCTGTTGTTGTGCCTTGGTAATGTGAAGTGCCCTCAGATCAGTGCGTGGTGCTGACTGCCCATCCCTTTCAGATTCACGTGGTGAATCTGTTTGCAGATCAAGGTTTTGGCTTCCTTGTTCCTGTTTCTTGCTCTGGCTCTGCTCTCCAGCAGCTCAGCTCGTGCCTGGGCACACACTGCCACTGGAATACAAGTTATGATCCAGCTGCAGTCGAGCCTTTCCCCAAAGTTTAGCCACTCAAACACCCCAGTTG